GATGTTAGCGTTGGCGGGGAGCGGGGGGTGGGGGAAGGGGGGAGCCAAGGAAAGCACCGCGCCCCACGTTCATTTCTGGGCGCACGACTGTCGCACTTCTGGGCGCGGCCCCTGGGCTCCTTCTGGCTCCGCTCCCAGGCCGCCTGCAGAACTCTGGCGGTAAACGGTTGGGTTTGGATTTCTTGGGGGATGCTGGCTCCTGGAATCACTGGGTGATTAGAAAAACGTTTGTGCGGATGTTCCCTTCTCCGGAACGTGAAATAACGACCGCCGAGCTGGTTGTTTCTGTCAGAGAGCGAGACCGCCCTGGTTTCTCAGGGCCGGCGGGCACGAGCCACGAGTCTGAGGCTCTGACACGCGTGGTGCATCCACGTGGGCAGTGTCTTCTCCCTTCCCCGCCCCCCATCCAGTGGCCGATCCAGAGACGGCCCTGCTCCCATCCCCTGAAGGGCTTTGGGGGCAGGGATCTGATTAGAAAAGGGAGCAGGGTTCTTGCCTGGAAGCTGATGGGCAAAGCACTGGACAAAGACTGAGATGACTGGCTCCCCAGGCCCCTCCCGGTGCTGCCCCCCCAGTGACCCAACAAAGTCCGCCCAGGGCGTCCCAGGCAGAGCCATGAAACGCCCTCCCCTCCTTGGCATCTTGCACCGTCCAGGGGCTGAGCCCCCTTGCAGGACAGGCACAGTTACCAGATTAAACAGGGGACACCCAGGTAGATGTGACTTTCAGAAAAACAACCAATAGCGTTTCAGCAGAATTATGCCCCAAATGCTGCCTGGGACATACTTCTACTTGAGTTGCATTTCTGTTCTTCGAATTTCTCTGGGCGTCCTGTAGATGGATTTGCTAAATCTAACGACCCTAATGCACGGGGAGCGGACCTCAGCGTCCTGGGGACGCCGCCCTGGTCCCCTGAGCCAGCTCGGCTGACGCCGCTCCCACGCCCGGCCTCCCGGGGAGGAGCTGAGGGTTGCCTTGTTCTTTCAGTTCCAGTTCGAGTTGGGTTTCTGTCACTTGCAACCCAAGTGCAGGGCGGCTCCCCAAGCGGTATCAGTGAGCCACCTGGCCACGTTTCCATGACAACAGCACAACCAAGGCCCATCACAACACCGATGTCCCAGCCCTGTGTGCTTCGGGGCAGAGGCACGATCAGGGACAGGACGGGACTGCGGACTCTGGTCTCCAGCCTTCATCACCGCGGGGACCTTCCTCCCCCTGTGGGCTCTGGGGGGCGGGTGTTTGTCACCTGTGCCTCTGGGTCCCTGGGGAGCCCACCCTCTGATGTGCACGCCGCTCTGGCTCTTGCTCCCCCCCCCCCCCCCCCCCCCCCCCCCCTTTCTTTTCTTCCTTCTCTGGGAGGTGTTGTGGGAAGACCTGTGTTTAGAATGGCTGCAGCCATGTTGTGACCATGAAGTCAAGGCCAGGAATGTCAGAGAAATGCTGAATCATCCTGGTAGAACTTCTTTCCAGCTTTCTAGTTAGATAAGATAATTAGATGTTTCTGTCATCTAAGTCACTCTTTGCCCCATATTCTGATTCTTGCAGCTGAAGGCATCCTATTGCTTGTCCTGGTCTGTAGCAACCTTTCCCCCCCCCCCCCCCCCGCGGTTCTGCAGTTTTATTTGACTGCCCACAACCCTCACGTTCCTGGAACATGACACAGGTTGGGGGCGAGCACCAGGCAGAGGACATGACAAGGCCAGCAATGGCCCCTGGTCCTGCTGCTTGGAACGGCTCCCTCCTGGGCCCTCCCTCTCAGGTGCCACAGGGCACTCCCCGGGGGCGTCCTCCCCATCCTGGGGGCTGCCGGGAAGACGGGGAACCGTGAGATGGGTTGTCTTGCCCGCCCCCCGGCGCGTCCAGGAGGCCCAGGGACCTCGGGCGACGGGAAGCAGCCGCTGGGCTCAGCAGCCCGTCTGCCGTGGGTCCGAGTCTGCCGTGGGTCCAGAGTGAGCCCTCCCTCCAGGCTTCTCTACCTCCTCCTCCGAGAACACACAGCTCAGCGATGAGGCCACAGCCCACCACCCTCCAGTTCCCACAGAAAGAAGGAAAACATGAATTTTGGCAAAACAATTTTACTGCTTAAAAAAATAAATGTTGCATCTGACATAGAAAGTCATTTTAAAACTCTGAATGTGTCTGATTGAGGCATCTTTAAGAGCCCAGTATTCCCACAGAAACCGGGACAGTTCTCTTGGCAAGAAGGCACCGCAGTCTTGCTGCTTGGCGGGGGGTGTGTTCTGCCCAGCATCTCCCCACCGCCAGGGGTTTCCCCCGGCTCCCTGCTCCTTGCGTCAGGAGCCCCGTACCGTTCCCCAGCCCGGGACAGAGGACAGGGACGCGATCCAGACCCAACACCCACTTCAGCGCCCACACCCCCTCCAGGCGTCTTGCTGGCAACTGCCCCTGAGCACCCGACAGCCGGGCCTTCCCAGGTGTAAACCAGGCACAGGTGCTGACAGCCCTTGGCCCCAGGGAGGCCCTGCTGGCATCTTCTCTCACCCAGTTCTTCCAAATGCAGAAGCCGGGGGTGGAGGGAGTGCCCTCCTTCTCATGGAATTGCTGCCTAAGAAAGCCAGGGGCACCTCGAGGCCTGTGGGGCCCAGCAGAGCACAGGGGTGTGTGTGTGGGGGGGGCACACTGCAGCCCCCATTCTTCACACCAGCAAGTGACCGCAGGGGACTGGCTCTGTCCCGGGACGGCAGGTGCTGACCGCATTGGCCTGTCACGGGCCCCCTGCCCTGTCACCACTGGCCTTTCCTGGGACTGTTCCCCGACATGCACCAGGCAGCTTCTATCCGCTCCGTGTGGACTGAGGCCTGCGGGGCCCGTTGGCTGAAGATAAAGATGCGCTGGGCAAGGCCGATGCAGACGTGAGGCTGTGGGTATTTCCATTGAAAAAACTTTTGTTTCTGAGAACTAAAGTGTAGGAAAGGTCTGATGGAAGGTCTCTCCTTTCTACCACACCATCCCTGGGGGGCGGGCGGGGGAGCAAGCAGGGCAAAGCAGGCTGGAGCTCCCAGGCCGAATCCCAGCCTGTGACTGTGGAATGATCTGAAATACCAGCCCCGGGAAGGAGAGTGTTGATGAGCTGCTATGAAGCGCTGACTGCGGAGGAACGGGGGCAGGAGCATCCAGGAGACGGACTGGGAGGGCTCCCGCCTGCGGTTCACAGGAAATGGCTCCCAGATCAAGATCAGATTCCAGCTCCCAGCAATCTGGAAAGTCCCTCATCCTTTCCAGACACACGGCAACAACGCTTCTCCAGAGATGCCCATCGGACAGCCCCCCGCGGAGGCCCTCCACCTGCCCAGGGCTCTGCTGAGGCCGACTGCCCTGCTCCAGCACCCAGGGCTCCCTGGAGGGAGGTGGCCCCGCAGGGGGCGGGGGGGCATGTCTAGAACCCCCAAGACCCGGCTTAGGAGCAACTGGCCTGTTGTCATTAGACTTCAGTTTCAGTAAATGAGGCTCCTTCCACTACCTCACAGGGTGTTGAAAGGATCAGAGGAGATCACGCTGTGCAAGATGTTGAGTATCTAGCCCGGGACTTAACCCCTCCGTCACCACCGCTCCCAGGCTGGGGAGCGCTTCCTCATCACCCACTGCTCTCTCCCTTGTGAAGGAGCCCGGGCAGCCCCGCTGTGCTGGGTGGGCCCTCACTCTGGGCCCAAGCAGCCCCGCTGTGCTGGGTGAGCCCCCGCTCTGGCCTCAGGCAGCCTCACTCTGGGGCCGAGAAGCCCCGCTGTGCTGGGTGGGCCCAGGCATGAGGCTGCAGGACTGGGAAGCCCGGGTTCGAGGCCCAGCATGGGGGCAGTGTCCCTGTGGGAGCCAGGCAGGCTTGCTGCCTCCCAAGCCCGGGTCCTCGGCCTGTGGGACGGGGTAAAGCTGGATCCCGCAGCATTTTCTCAATGAGACAGAAAGGAGAGGGCACCATGTTCAGGCAGGTCCCGACCACGCTGGGCTGGAGACAGATTTCCAGGCTTCGAGATGTGACAGGTTCCTGGCTGCGGGTCACGGTCCCAAACGTTTGGAAACCACCAGCTGAGGTGGCCTGGTTCTGAGCTCCCCTTCCTGGCACAGGGCAAGGAGGGCAAGGGGAAGGGAGGGGGGAAGTGAATGCTGACAGTGTCTCCCGGGGACTTTTAGGACAGCAGCTGATTCTGGGAAGGAAACCTTTGGCACTTTTTGCCCCATCCCAAGCCCGTGTGCAAACTCCCCAGACAAAGGGTGCATTCGGGGGCAAGGCAACCCTCTAAGAACAGGACATCCTCGGCCCAGGCCCGCAGTGACTCACTCTTATTCAGAAATGGTGACAGCTCACCCTTTATCCCAGACGGAGACGCGGGCCTGTGGAGGTCCCTTCCTCTCTGGTGTTGCAACCACAGAGGAAGAAGTCCCCAAGGAACAGCTGGGGGAGTGCTGGGGCCCAGGGCCCAGGGAGGCAGAGTACAATGGGAGCACAACACGGGGAGTTCCTGGGACACAGGGGAAATGCCTGCGAGTCAGACCTCAAGGAACGCCGGCAGGGATGGTGCGCGAGCGCCCCCACGTGGCCACCGGGGCACCCGACCTGCAACCACCTGTACCGCCAGCATCTCTAGAGCAGAGGGGCTAAGATGCTGACCCAGAAAGGGAAGAGACTCCTGCCCGGCACTGATGCTGTGCTGCCGAGGTCAGCGGCCCTCCTGCTGGCGGAAGCAGAATTTTAACGGGAGTGCCCCTGGCTCAGGCACCACCTCCCAGGCTCCCATCGCACGGAAGCAATATTCCTTTAAACCCACAGCCGTGAGGAAAGTCTGAACAGTCAAAAGTAGAGAAACGGATTTCGGGGCGCCCCTCCTCACCAAGGAAAGCCCTCGCGCCACGCAGACACGTGCCTGTCTGACGGCGTGTCTGCCACACAGAGGCCAGGAGGCGGGGCTCAGTCACACGAAGCATCTCTTATTCCCTGACAGCCACAGCTGGGGGCATTCTGCCACACAGAGGCCAGGAGGCGGGGCTCAGTCACAGGAAGCATCTTATTCCCTGACAGCCACAGCTGGGGGCACGACTAGGTGGAAAGCTGGAATACAGATGGTGTCCTGTCGCTGCTGATTTTTTAAAAAGCATTTCAGAGACACCCCTGGGGGTCTCAGGAGAACAGGCCCACGGGCCCCGCTTCTCGAGAGCAGAGCACCCACCTATTCCTGAGGAGCCGCCGCCTTGTTCCCGAGCCTCCCACATGCAGTGGCGCCGTGAGCCGCAGGAGGGACCGGCGGGCAGGGAGTGGAGGGCTGTGTGAGGAGGGTGCTGCAGCCCCGGCGCCACGGCCGCCCCAGCAAAAGGCCTGGCTCCTGTCTGGTCAGATCAGAGCGTCTGGATGGTGCATCGCTTGACGTCACAGCTCTCCCCGCAGTGAGCTGTCCCCATCAGAGAGACTGACTAGGTCTTTCCTGGTAGAACAGGGAGGACACTGGAGGTTCCCTGAGATGGAAAGAGCCCTCGTACGGAGGGACCCCTGGGATGGCCTGATGGTTATGCCCAGCGGGCAGGGCGGGGTCCCCCCATGCAGAGAAGGTCATTACAGAGGAAGGGCCCCTAACAAGTCACGAGGTGTTTGGCACCGTTGTAGCACCCAGTATTAGTGGCAGTGTTCTTGTCGTCATCTTTCTGTCTACAATTGGAGGGTCTGGGGACAGCCAGGATACCAAGGAGGGATGGGAGGCCCCCTGAGTCAGGACGAGGAGGAAGGACTGGACACACGGAGCAGGAGGCAGCCCACAGGGGCCAGGACAGCAGCCGACGGCAGAGGCTCCGGGAGGAAACGGGAAGCAGGGCAGTCCCAGCACCTGCCCGGCCCGGCCCTGCACCCACTATGCCGGGCTCTCTGCTCTCGGCTGCCCGCACCCTTCTCCACGGGAGCCGTCCCAGGGCCCCCCTCCAGCACCCTCCTCGGCCCCCTGCATGCCTCCTGCTGAAGCTGGGAGCTCCCACGCCGCAGCCTGGCCACGAGGCCGGCTGATGTTGACGTGGAACCGCCAGTCTCTCCCAACCTGGATTTGAAGCCTCTCACGAGCCTCCATTTCTTCCTTGTTTCTGGGTCTGACCACATCTGGACAGGGACGGTCAAAGGGGTTGGGATGGGGCCTCTCCCGGGGCTGACCCTGAGGCATCCGATTCCAGAGAGCCAGGCGCCCGGGCAGGTGGCAGGACTCGGGGGAGGGGAGAGGACAGGGGAGAGACAGCCTGGGAGTGAGCAGGGGGCAAGGCCCCATCACCCCAGAAATGCCTCGTAGTCCATGTACCACACCAGCTGGCCCGACACGGGCTGGACGCCCGAGATGGGCCACTTCTTGGGCTCGTGGCCGACGCGGCTCACCAGCAGGGTGATCTCGCGCTTCAACCGGCCCATGACCAGGACCGCCACCCTCCTGGCGCGGTTGATGAGGGGCAGGCTGAGGCTCATGCGGCGGCGCGGCCCGGAGGGGCTCTCGGTCAGCACCACCAGCTGCTCGCCCTCCAGGCCGGTGGGCGACTGCGGGAAGAGGGAGGCGGTGTGCCCGTCGGCGCCCATGCCCAGCAGCACCAGGTCGAAGCTGCTGTTGGCGACCAGGGCGGAGATGTCCTCGGCGTAGGCCTGGGCGCCCTGGTCCTCCTCGGCACAGAGCCGCTGGCGCAGGTGCACGGGCATGGGGTGGACGTGGTAGTGCGGGAGCCTGACGTGCTGCAGCAGGTGCGTCTGCAGGCCCTGGAAGTTGGACTCAGGGTCCCAGAGCGGCACGCAGCGCTCGTCCACCAGCCACAGGTGCGTGTGGGCCCAGGGGAAGGCGTAGTGGCCCATGGCCAGCTGCTGGAACAGGGCCACGGGGCTGGAGCCGCCCGAGAGCGCCAGGTGGAACTGGCCAGAGCGCCGCACGGCCTTCATGGCGGCCGCCTCGACGTCGTCGGCCAGCTTTGCGATCAGCTCCTCGGGCCAGGCAGTGACCAGCGGGCGATCTCGGTACGTGGACCTGAGAACCTGGAAGTCACTGGGCGAGGGAGCGGAGCCGGGCCCCGGCACCAGCTGCTCCGGCTGCTGCACCGAGAAGGACAACTGGCCGCCACTGAACTCAAAGTCCAGCAGGTGCCCGTTCTCCGTCCCTCCGGGGTAGAGGCGGGGGGCCTCACGGGCCAGGCTGTCCAGCAGGGGGGTCCAGAAGGCCCAGGAGGCCAGCAAGTTCTCTGTGGTGATGAAGGAGTCCTTGCGGCCGTGGAAGATGCGGGAGATGAGGACGGAGTAGGCGTCCTGCTCCCGCACGGGACTGTAGGCATAGAAATCAGACAGTGGGCGGCCGAAAAGGTGGAGCCCGGGCGGGCCCCCCACCTCCTCCCAGCTGCCGGGCAGCGTGGGCCTGAACAGGTTCCGGCTCACCAGCACCGCAGGGCTGCCCAGCGCGCCGTGCCCAATGTGGAAGATGATCTGGCGCGGCAGACACGCGCTCTGCTCTGCGACCCAGTGCTGCTCGCTCTGCGCACAACACGCCCGGTTCTTGAACAAGACCCGGACGTAGCCCACTCTCTCGTCCAAGGCTTTGCCCGACATCAGGAGGAAAGGGACGCCCTCCCAGCGAAGGTTGTCCAGGTGAACGAGGATGCCTGCGGGGACAGGGACGGTGGAGGTGACACTCCAGCACGGGAAACGGACTTCCCGACCCAGTGCTGCTCGCTCTGCGCACAACACGCCCGGTTCTTGAACAAGACCCGGACGTAGCCCACTCTCTCGTCCAAGGCTTTGCCCGACATCAGGAGGAAAGGGACGCCCTCCCAGCGAAGGTTGTCCAGGTGAACGAGGATGCCTGCGGGGACAGGGACGGTGGAGGTGACACTCCAGCACGGAAAACGGACTTCCCACCCACTTGCCTCCCCCTCCTGCCTCCCTGCCTGCCAGCCAGCCCCCTCCCCCAGCCACTCCTCTGGGCACCCACGGCCTTGCTAGGCTCACCCCCCACCTTTCACCCCTCCCATGATCTTCCCTCCAGCAGTGCTCAAAAAGCAGCCTCGCCAGGACAGTGTGGCTCAGTGGTTGAGCATCAACCTATGAACCAGAAGGTTACAGTTCAATTCCTGGTCAAGGGCACATGCCCGGGTTATGGGCTCAATCCCCAGTGTGGGGCATGCAGGAAGCAGCCAATTGATGATTCCCTTTCATCACTGATGTTTCTCTCTCTCTCTCTCTCTCTCTCTCTCTCTCTCTCTCTCTCTCTCTTTCCCTTCCTCTCTGAAATCAATAAAAATATATTTATAAAGAAAGAAAGAAAGAAAAGCAGCCCTAGCCAGTTTGGCTCAGTGGATAGAGTGTCAGCCTGCGGACTGAAGGGTCCCGGGTTCAATTCTGGTTAAAGGCACATGCCTCAGTTACAGGCTCGATCCTTGGCCCTGATCGGGGCCTGTGAGGGAGGCAACCAATCGTCTCTCTCTCACAGCAACGTTTCTCTCTGTCTCCCCCCTCCCTTCTACTCTCTCTAAAAATCAATGGAAAAATATGCTCAGGTGAGGATTAACCAAAAAAGAAAAAAAGAGAGAAAGAAAAACAGCCTCGGGACCATCGCAGACACCGCCTCTCCTAGACTCACGGTCCCCGAGGAAGGGGAACTGGGCTGAGGTCGGACCCAGAGCCTCTGAGAAAAGTCCCAGGATGGGAGATGCTGGCTACTGGGGCGGGGGGCGGGTGGGGGGTGTACTAAGGGCCAGGCGCTGAGCGTCCTCCTGACAGTTCCCTGCCCGTGTCCCTATCACTCTCCCTGCAGATCTTGGCAGGTTTTTCACCGTCACTGAACCTCACATTTCCTCCCTCTAAGTGCAGATAATAACATGCCTGCCACGTGGGTGCATGCGTGTGAGGACTACATGAGATGACGCAGATAAAGTGCCTGGCACAGCAGGTGCTGCTCCTGGTGTGGGGTATTATCTGCAGCCTGAGGGAGCACCCTCTCCCAGAAAGCTCTGAGCCTCAGGGACTGCCCAGAGGATGGCTCTGGGGGGCCCTGCCTGACCAGCATGGTCCTTGCCCGCGGGGGGTGCTTTGGGCAGTGGCCGGACAGGCTTGCAGCCTCACTGGGGGGGGGGCGCGGAGCTGGACGTCAGCCCCACGAGGGTGAGAGCCAGCTCTGGAGGATCTGTGGACAGGGACTGAACTGACACTGTCACGGGGTGTCCTTCGCCCTGAGGGAGCCAGCAGGGGACCTGCTGCTTTAAGCTGATGGGAGGCCCCCAAGTGCCACTTGAAAACCCCACTTCAAGACCCTTCTGGCCTAAACCCAAGGGCGTCTGGGCTGGGAAAGCAGCGTCCAGTGGGGAAGCCCGCGCCCGGCCCGGGGCCCACCTGCGAAGGTCGGCGTCAGGCTGAGGAAGCCGGCCGGCTTGTCCAGCTCCCTGCGCACCTGCTCGCTGTAGGCCTGGTACTGGCCCAGGACGGCGCTGCCCTTCCGGAGGCCCCGCAGCGCCTGGAAGACCTGCAGTTTGTGCCGCAGCACGTCCTCCGAGCTGCCGACGTCGGGGGGCAGCTCCATGGCCACCAGCGTGAGGATCTCCGTCAGGTGGTTCTGCAGGACGTCGCGGATGACACCGTACTCCTCGTAGAAGCTGGTGCGACCTGGCGGGAGGAGAGGACGGGGAGGCCATAAAGGTGGGGAACACGCCCGACGTCCCGAGGTGCACCGAGACCCCAGCCCGCGTGCCTCGTCCGCACCCCAAGCCCGGTCCACAGAGCCCACAACATGGTTTATGCAGAAACCCTCGAGAGCCGTTTAAGAGAAGGCGTCACACTCTCCGGGCTTCTCTTGTTTGACGGAGGAAACACGAGTTCCGTTTTAGGTGAGTTTCAGGAATTGCGTGGGGCAGGCTCTGGCCCCGGCAAAGGCCAGATTGCACTTGCAGACGCCTGGCCGGCCCTGGCCCCGCCCCTCCCTGTCAAAGTCCTTACAATGTTGTTGAGAGACACCAGGAAAAAGCTATGACAATAACAATCATGGGTATCAGCCCACTTACTCCTCACCATACCGATATCTGAGGACGTCCTGCTGTGACCTCTGGGGCTCAGAGAAGTTAGGTAACTTGCCCAAGGTCACACAGCTGGTTAAGGTTTGAAGCCAGGCAGTTGGCCCCGGCACCTGCAGTTCTTGCCACCAAATACCTCCCTTCCGACTTCCTGCCACCCCATTGAAACGGCCACAGAACATGGCACTCAGGGTGATGCCCGGTGGCCCAAGCACCAGGGACTTCAGAACAGAGCACAGTGGTCGGAGGAGCAAGCTGAGCGGGGCTCCAGAGGATGGGGTAGGTCAAAGGTCAGGGACCCCATGCCTGGGGGCCCAGTGCAGGTGTGAGGGGGTGGGGCAGCGCTTACATCCCTCAGGACAGTTAAATGCCTCAGCTGCCATCAGGTGGCGCCGCACTGGAGTGTGGGCTCAGAGTGACCGAATCTTCTAATTTTTTTGGAGAACATAAACATTTGGACCAATGAGTGTAATCTCATGATTTTTAAATGTGCACACATAATTCAGATTGCTTAAAATGCTGCATGTCTCAAAGACATGTATGTTGGGCTGACTGTCCCTGGGCCACATCCCAGTTGGGGTGGACAGCACGCGCCAGAGGGCAGAGGCCCCAGCACACAGCTCAGATGGCAACACTTGGCCCGGCAGAAGCAGCCGGTTTGTGGCTGGGAGTAGCAGGAATCCAGGACAGACGGAAAGGGCCTTGGGAACTAGACTGAGGAGTCTGAGGAGCTATTAAGTTCTTGACCTCAACTAGTTAAAGAGCTACCATGTGACCCAGCAATTCTACTGTCACGTAGAGACAAGAGAAAGGAAAGCATATGTCCACACAAAAACTTGTACACGGATGCTCACAGCCACATTACTCACAATAGCCACAAAAGAGCAGCATCCTGCATGTCCACCAGCTGACGAATGCATGAAGAACATGTGGTCCACCCACAGAACGGAATATTAGGCAGCAATGAAAGATGTCGCTCTGACAAACGCTACAACATGGGTGAACCTTGAATACATCATGCTAAGTGAAATAAGCCAAACACAAAAGGCCACAAATCGTATCATTCCACTGATGTGAAATGCTCAGAACAGGCAAATCCATAGAGACAGAAAGACCAGAGGTTGTGGGGGGCTGGGGAGAGGGGGTATCAGAGGGGCAGCCAAGGGGCACAAGGATGAGAATGTTCTAAAGTGGGCCGTGGGGATGGCTGCCCAACTCCGTGAACATACTCGAGCCACTGAACTGCACACCTCGAACGGGTGAACTGTGTGACACATAATTACCTCTCAACAGAACTGTGTTTTACCAAGTGTTGGAGCAGGAAGTGGAGACAGGAAAGAGGCGCTGTGGGAAGGTCAGCGGCCAGGGCCTGCCAGGTGGCCTGTCAGAGGGGCAGCGGAATGACATCAGGCAGGGCGGGGCGCGTGGAGCCACAGTGACGCGGACGACATTCCGTGGGTGAGTGAACACTGGGTGGAGACAGGCTGGAGGGTGAAAGGCAGTTCAGGGTCGGGACCTGGAGTGGGGTCTCCAGCCAGGCCGCCTGCTCGGCCATGTCTTAGCCCTGTGGCCCCGGGGAGTGGCTGTCTCACACGTAAGAGAGGAATCGGCACGTGCCTCCCAGTGGGGCTGCTGCGAGGTTAATGAGTCCACACACACGCAGGCCTGGCACACAAGAAGCACCATGAACACTGGCTGGTGGTTGGGCGGCGTGAGAGGGGCCCCAGCCAGGCAACTCGGACAGCCATCACCATGTGGAAATAAAAAGAGTTAGAAAAAGTAGTTCTATTTCATGAAAAAAATGCAAGGATGGTTTTAGCCCTAACTCTGCTGGGTCTGAAGAGGTGGTGTGGCATCCAGTGAAAAAAATCTAAAAGGTGCCCGGCCAGTGTGGCTCAGTGGTTGAGCATCAACCTATGAACCCAGGAGGTCATGGTTCAATTCCCGGTCAGGGCACATGCCCTGGTTGCGGGCTCAATCCTGGGTGTGAAGTGTGTAGGAGGTAACCGATCAATGATTCTCTCTCATCATTGATGTTTCTCTCTCTCTCTCTCTCTCTCTCCCTTCCTCTAAAAAAAAAATCCTAAAAGGTAGCTGGTGGTCTGAGACAGGCCTGGGGAGGCAATGACAGGGGGATTATGCTGGATTTCGTCAAATCAAAAATGCCATCGATGGTGAAAGAATCATTTTTTTATAACCTCGAAGAAAAGGGGTGCCAATTCAACTGTCACTTTGCCAGTGGGAAACCCAACTTCAGAGATGGGGAAAATGTGTCTTAGAATCGATGAATCGCAGCAGATTTAAGAGTATAAAGAGAATAAAGCTTTGCAAACAGAGGAATTTTTGATGGTGAGAACACAGCAGAGTCCTTAAAAGCCCTGTTATCTGCTTACTATTCATTAGTTTAGCAAATCCCTCAGTGGCCCTTTTCCTATTTTTATCCCCTCTCGGTCCGTGGGGAGAAGCACTTCCTAGGCTTGCTGCCCGCTGCGTAAAAGAGAGCTTCCTTTCTTCCTAATTTCAAGCTTCAGGGGGTGCCCGCGTGCAGCACAGCCCACAGATTGCAGACTTTGATCCTTTCCTGGCTGGCTCTGTCTTTTCCGAGTTCAAGTGCAGTGACCAGAACCTGTGCCTCACAGGGGGAGGCCTGCAGCTAAGCCCAGGCACAGGGAAGGGAGGGGCGAGGCCTCCTGAAGATGCCCACCAAGCTAGGCTTTTCTAGTTGCCACCAGCTGTTGTGGACTGTTCTTTGGCTGTTGTTTTTTTCTGAAAATGATCTGTATTGACCCCTAGCATCCTTGCCTGGGTTGAAAGGTGAGGGTCAAAGTCCATCGATGTGAACAGGATGGAACACAGCACAGTGGCATGGACGATGGAAGGAAGGCCCATACACTGGCTTCCATCCTGCCCGAGTCCAGGGCTCGTCCATGCTCACAAGCTAGAGAGACCCACCGCTTTGCCCCCCAGCTGCGCTGCCCCTTGAAACCTCAAGGGGTGGCATCCCAGGAAGGCAGGAGAAGTCTGGGGAGATGTCATAACAAAGTACATGTTCCACTTTGGCCTATCAATTCCACTTCAGAAGTATACTTAGAGGAAAAATAAATTTAATACTCATAAGTGTTCTAGAATTAGATAGTGGTTGCACAACTTTGTGAATATATTAAGAACTAGTGAATTGTACATTTTAAAAGGGTAAATTTTTTAAAAAATACATTTTTATTGATTTCAGAGAGGAAGGGAGAGGGAGAGATAGAAACATCAATGATGAGAGAGAATCACTCATCAGCTGCCTCCTGCACACCCCCAACTGGGGATGGAGCCCGCAACCCAGGCATGTGCCCTTGACCAGAATTGAACCTGGGACCCTTCAGTCCGCAGTCCGATGCTCTATCCACTGAGCCAAACCCGCTAGGGCTAAAAGGGTAAATTTTATGGCATGTGAATTATATCTTAATTTTTTTTTTGAAAGCTCACAAAGGACTATTTAAAATAGCAAAAACGGAAACAACCAAAATGCCTAATAATAGAACAATCCATACTCTGTGGCATAAACAGAACTGAACAGAAATACAGAGCTACTAAAAGGTATATATTAGCCCAGCTGGTGTGCTCAGTGGTTGAGCATCACCCTATGAACCAGGAGGTCACAGTTAATTCCCATTCAGGACCCATGTCCGGGTTGCAGGCTCTCCCCAGTATAGGGGGAGTGCAGGAGGCAGCCAATCAGTGATTCCCTCTCATCATTGATGTTTCTCTCTCTCACTCCCTCTTCCTATCTGAAATCAATAAAAATATATTTAAAAAATAAAAATAAATAAGTCAGGTGGAGCCCAGGGCCTGAGGCCACGCCCACTTCCTATCCTGGCCAACGTATATAAAGAGTTGTAAAGTATTCCCACGTACATACATCTCCAGATTTAACCCTCAAGACACCCTGAGAGAGACAGAGAGAGAGACGGAGACAGACAGACACTGGGTCACCGTCACTATGTACAGAGACTGCTGGGACCTGAAACCGGTCCTGCTGCCTCCACATTACGGGAGATCCCAATTTCCTGGTAAAAACAGGGCTTTAAAAGCACAAGAAACGAAAAGCCAGCTGAGATCCGCACCAACACCTTCCGGGATCACTGAAAATAAAGGGGGCTGGGCCCAGAGGGAGCGGTCCACTGGTCGGGACGCCTGGCACTGCCCTGCGCTCACCCTGGCAGCTCTGCAGACGGAGGGGGGGAGGGGAGGGGGACGACGACTGCACTGCTGAGTGCCCGGCGGCCCCTCTGGCACACCAGGCGGAAGGCAGGCCAGCTGGCACCTGGGAGGACCCTGGCTGCCCGTCCCTCAGTGAGAGGCACTGAGTGGTCACTCCGCCCTCAGAAGTGAACATGCATCACGCTCCCTCCCCAAGGTCAGGACAGGGACCCTCCCTAGCCGGGCCTCAGTCCATCAGCGGCCCAGCCCTCCTTCCACAGAGCCTTTGCCAGTGGCCAAGAGCGGGACCAGCAGGCATCATCTCCACAGAAACCAAGTGGCCCAGCCGAGGTCACTTCCTGCCTGGCCCATGGGGCTGTTTCAGGAGACCCAGGTCCCAGGTTCCTGTGACTCTCAGGGGCTCACTGGATGGGGACCCCTCAGGAGGGCGCCCAGATGAGAAGAGGGAGCGGCACTGGCAGCTGGAGGGAGGACTGCTTCTTCCTTCCCTCCTCCCAAGTCTCTCTCCGTGTCTCTCTCTCTCTCTCTCTCTCTCTCTCTCTCTCTCTCTCTCCACCCCCTCCCTGCTGTCTATGCAGTGGCCTTGATGCTGCAGCAAACTCCTCTGGGCCAGAGGCTGAGACAGAAAAGGAGGAAAAACAACCACTCGCAGCCGTGGAGGGAGGGAGCTGGGGCAGCCAACCCCGCCCCTGTGGGTGTGAGTGAGTGGGGGTGGGGACATCCTGATGACCTTGCAGCTCACAAGTCCCTCTCCCGGGGCCTGCAGCAGCTCAGGCCAGAACAGCTCAGCTCGTGTCCCAGCCTGGCTCAAACCCCCGCCCCTGCCAGCACTCGGGGTGGTGGTCCAGGCTGCCACCGGGGACCCATCCCTGCCTCCCTGCACAGGACTCAGCGAGGGGTGCACACCTGCAGGAGAAGGAGAAAAGCCAGGGGCTGAGTGCTGGGGGAGCTGGAGGGAGAAGGCCCCACCTTGCCCTGCGGCTTCATGGTCAGAGCAGAGCGCCGGGCTCAGAGCCTGCCTGCTGGCCACACTCAGTCCCCTGCAGCGGGGAAAGACTGCCTGCCTGTTTCCTACCCAACCCCGGAGAAGGCGAGCTGAGGCCCTGACATGCCGGACACAGGGCTTCCTGGCCATGGTGGGGGGGCTGCAGGTCAGTGCTTGGGGCACCAGAGCTGCACAGGCCACTTCCTGGATGTGAAGAATGCGTGTCCTAAGTCCCATGGGGTTGGGGGGGAGAGAGAGACAGAGAAAGACACAGAGAGAGACACAAGGAGAGAGGCAGAGAGAGAGACAAAGAGAGAGAGAGACAGAGAGAAAGACAGAGACAGAGAACTCACTTCCTCCAAAATGCTGCACTTTGTCTAGCCCCTGGCTCCACGGGGATCCTGCAAAGAAACCCACAAATGCCAATGGGTCCAAGAACTAAGAGGCCATGGCGCCCACTGGGACCTCCAGATAGTGCGGCTCTTCCCCAACCTGCGCGGGCACAGGAGCTGCCAGTCAGGGGGAGGGGGGGAGGGGGGCGCCCTGCGTCCTAGCCCTGCGGTGAGCAGGCCAAGTCCAGGCAGAGCGGGTGCTGGCTGCCACTGCAGGTCCAGC